ACCGCTCAGTTCCTTAGAAACTTTCCATTCTTCAGTCTTCCCTTGCTTTGTAAAAGCAGAATCTCATTCAACATTTCATTAAAAAAAGAAATAGATGCATTATGTATGCCTGGCATCTTATCAATAAGTCTTTACAATGCCTATAGAATCATAGAGTTTGTTAAACCAACAAAATTTTCCCCAAACAATTCTACTTTTACCATCAGTCTCAAAAATCAAAGGCCTTCTGTGCTCTATTTGATTTTACACCTCTCTCTCAAAGGAAAAATTGTTTTCTTCCTATGATTGGTGCTGAGGGTCAGGAGGAAGGAGTGGAGACCACAGTAAACTGTAAATGAGTAAGATCAGAAAAACTTTCATAACCTCTCACAGATAGGCAAAGTTCAGTTCAGAAAAGGAGGTTCTGTATCAGAGTCCTGATGAGGCCTCCAGGCACATTTCTGGCCAATAATCAAGATTTCCTTGTAGAAAGGATGTCAAAACCAGCATAGCTGTTCAAATTTTAGATTCACATTAGCTCAAAATGAGTAAGATACTCAAAACATGTGATGAGTTGCTCAAATGAAAAGAGCAATGAGTATCTTCTGAGAAAGCTTCTGTCAGTAGAAAAACTAAAACCTCCTTATTCTAGAATGAATGAATTAATTAAGTCTGCTTAATTAACAGGAATATCTGTCAAGACTATAAATATTAGCTCTGAAAAAAGGTGTCAGCTTTTAAATGCCCATTACACCTGATACTGTAGCTTTTGGTCATCTTTAAGTTCCAGATTCCAGGTAAAAAGCAAGTTCCCTCTGTATGTTTCAGATAACCAGTTGTTTCAAATTTCCATTTCCCTCCAAATACACTACCAGCATATCCAGGTACGCAAGATTCTGAAACCTGAAGTCAGTGACATTTTACCTGGGCAGTTTCAAGAGGATTCTTTGGGAGCAAGTTATTGGGCTGGGCAGAAGAGTTCAACTAGCAAACCCAAACAAAGTATTATAATTAATAAAAGTGGCACAGCAATAATGATTACTTCCAAAAGGGATAACATGAAGAACAAAGACATGATCAAGGAGACATGTCTAGCAGCACAGCCCACTAATGAGCATAAAAAGCAGAGTTCTTCAGCAATAGAGAAGCCACAGTAAAACTGAAATTTCACAAGCTGCTCACCCTCTGAACCACCTTAGAGTGATGCCCTGTTCACTAAAATACCAGATCTTTTATTTCCTGTATTAGTAGTACTTATACAGAGAGCAACATACTTGGCTGTATCAGTCATTCCAATCTAGTGGTGCTGTATACATAAAAAACACTGTACTTTTAGCAACAGCCTCCTTGTTAATGTGAAGATTTCAAGGGGAACAGATGTATTACAGGTTTTTTCATCTGGGGTTTCTGCATAGTTTTATTTCTGCTACCGTTAGCCAGGAAATAGCTGTAAGATGCAATACCATTTTCACTAAATTAAGGTAGTGGCAATTTAGAATTATTCTATATCTGTAGAGCACTGTTCAAATGAAGCTATCAAGTGCTTTATATAAAAAAATGATAGCAGCATTAGAGTATGCAGTAATATTCCTGATTCTTTATTAAAATTTGCTCCCCTCCAAATTACTATACATATTAAAAGTTAGTTTAATTGCAGTTCTGAGAAGTTTTTGAAAACAGCACTAAAACTTATTGGAAACATTCTTTAAAATGAGTGCATGAGTAAGCTGTTTACTAGGTAGAACTACCATAAACAAGATGCCTGTATTTCAGAACATGAAACTTAAAGTCAAAAGAAAGTGTGTTGGCTGCTTTAAGGATTCTCTTGAATCCTCATTGAAATAACTGAAAAATTAAAAATGTAATATTCTGAAGTAGCAATATTGCATATCTAGCAATACAAAATCCATTCATTATTAATGCATTTATTACATGCAAAGACTGAAGTGGAAACAATCGCTAGAAGCACTAGAATTGAAGCTGCTTATGGAATTTTGGATTTCCCCCATAGGACTTCAGTGCTGAGTGAATGAACTGAAACCATGTAACAGTCCTGTTTGCTGAAAAATCATGGCCCTAGTTGTAGTGGACAGGGTGAAATTTAGCAAGTGAAACAAGACACTCATGAAAGAGAACAGAAAGTGTTTTGATGAAGGTCCTGCCACTCAGCATGACATGGTATTATCTCTAGACCAGGCAAGTATTTAATACAGTGCTGGGTTCTCATTTTTGCTAATAGCCTCCCTAAGTCCAACATGAGTACAATCAAAGTTTTGCTATTTTAGTATAACAGGGTAAGTGCTGCTTTAGGAATGCTTGCAAGCTAATCAAGGTACTTCTCACACTTTGTGAAACTTTTCCAACAGGGTTTTGGTTTGCTCTGCAAGTACTTAATTGAAGAGAGTAGCTAACATGCTAGTTATAGCAATAAACCTAGATTTATTTGTGGTCTTTTGACTCTTGATACAAAGACTGACAGCATTAGCAACTAGGATTTTTTTTTTTTAATCTGTATCTCAAAAGGTAAGTTTATGCAACACAGACCGACTATACTGAAAATCCTGAGAAGCATACTTAGTAGGAACTAAGTAAGTTATTTTGTACTAAGTTTAGTACTTGCCTAAACTCTACTGCTGGAATTATTTTATATTCCATCTGCATGGAGTTCTACGTTGACATGGCTAGATTACTTCTAGCAAGCTGTTTTGTAAAGACCTAGCTAACAAGTAGAACAGGAGTCTAAACTATATCTAGTCTGAAGTGTTAACTTATTACAGCATTTACCTATCTGTAAATTTTTGGTTTGTCTAAGATATTTTTAACCTTTTCAAGAAATTTGAGATTTTTTTTTTTCCCCTCCTTAAGCCTACCTGGGCATAATGCCACTTGTAGCTAGGTAACATAAGCTTAGTAGTAACTTCCTGCTGGAATTGGGCAGGAAACAGTCAGGACTCAAACACAGGATCTTCAGCACTGCTATGCATGAATGTTCTCTGCATCCGTATACGCATCAGTTGAACACTGCATAACTAATAGTAGTTGATTGGCAACATAATTGGCATCAACTACATTTATGGAAATGAAAGTAAAATCAAGTATAATTAGCCTTGAAATAAGTATTAAATGATACTTAAGTCATATACACCTTATAAGGGCCAATCAGTCTTCTTTTAACGTCCAACCGATAGCTTCTGGACTGTTCTGCATCACCCATATCTGTTGCACGCAATCGGAGAATTTCATAAACTCGTCTTGTGTGTTGCTAATGAACAGAAAGGAGAATAAAAACCATGTCTGAATAAAGAGGTCATTCAATACGACTCGAAGGGAAGAAATATTGAAATATTAGAGTAGTTCCTCAGCTTATTGGAAGACAGTCAGAGGCATGGACAAAGCCTCTGTCAAACCTATCCTTCTATCTGGTGGGTTAAATGAATAAACATTCTTGTTTTTCCTTCAAAACCATTTTCCTCCATGCAGCCAGTGTCTGATCTCTTAAAAGTGTTGCACCAGCTGTAGAGATGCTTCAAGGACCTGCTGTAAATAAGCAGCAGAAAGTCCAGAAGCCACAGTCCAAAAAAATACTTCGAAGAACTGAAGGAGTAGAACTAGAATGACATTAAGCAATATTTTACTAAACAGTATCTACTTTGCTAGTTTTAATGATCTCCATATACCTACTGCCCTTCACAAGGCCCCCTGGAAGTTTTAAATATGCGAATGAAACAACAATATTTAAAGTTTTCTGTTTACTAGGGAAGTAAATAAAAAAAATGAAGTGCTTTTGGAAGCAGGATCAGCTAGTATCACATCTGGGAAGAAAAAAAAAATCACGTTGCTACTATATTACTATTAACTGTTGCATCCGTAAGAAAACAGAATTTAAGACCAACTATTCTTTTGCTGAGTAACAGAACAAAAATAGGATGGTTTGTTTGCTACACTAGCACATGTTCAGATACTGTTAAAAAAAACAACTTATTTATCCTTTCAGGTTTAAGATATCAGAAGGCTGCAGATGTAGCTTCCTTATACAAGCTATACCATTTTCATGAACACATTTGAATATAGCTTCACACCCCTCTTCCCTCACACTTCAAAATTTTCATTAAACCATGTTCAAATAATTTTTTTAATTAAGCAGCTCTGCCTTTTCACTACCATACTCACTAATGAGTTTAATCATTCACTGAGATTACCAACAAATGTAATTGTTCAATGTTCAACTGTTTAGTTCTCCAAGTGTTTAGAGCTGCCTTAGTAGCAGTTGTTTGCAACTTTACTGTTTTGCATTCCCAAAACAACACTTGTTATTTGTATAAATATACCTGAAAGAAATGGAAACCTCGTCAAATTATATTACATCAAAAGAATTAGTAGGTAAAAAAAGCATTTACCTAAAACCATGAGCTAGGTATCTCCCTTCCACATAGATCCTAAAAGTCTCTTGAAATAAGCCAGAGTGTGTAAATTCCAAGTCTCCACCTCTATGTTTAAATTATTATTCTACTAGTTTGATAAGAATATGTCCGACTACAACTGTTCTGATTTAATACCTTATTTATTTTCAGTTTTTGTTGAGCTTCCATCACCATTTCTTGACTGAAACCTTGCATTAACTTTCCTGGGGAAAAGCAAAGCAAATCTTGACAGAGCTTTACAAGAACAAAGTCTCTTAGTTTCACATAGTTTTCAGATGGATCTTCAGCTAGAAAGAATAAAAAAAAAAAGCATGTAGTTAATATCAGTGTTATTTGTTTCCTCAACTCTGGTATGTAATTACAAAGAACTACGGAATACAAAAGCAGATACAATTAAGCACAGTTGTTTATATACTGATGAATACTGTAAGTACTGCTATCAAAGTTTTAGCTGTTTGACAGTAGACATTAAAGAGACTGCAGAAAGAAAAACTTCTAATATTTTGTGTATGCAGTACCATACAGTATTATATACACATTTGTGAGAGACTGACAATATACATGTTTAATCCAATTTAACTCCTTGGGAAAAGAAAATTACTCTTTGTATAAACCCTTTTTCTTGTATGGTCCATCTATTCTATATTTGACAGAGCGGTAGAACTACTAGAACACAAACTAATTATGTGGAAAAAGACTTGTGAAACTATCCTACTGTATACAACTAAACTAGCTGAAGACAATTATTGACCATGAGTTACAATCTTTGTTAGCAAGGAAGATAGGGAAAGGTACAAGGACCCAAAGGACAAGCTTATCCAAAATTAAAAGGCTGGAAGGATCTAAGCAAAAGCTGATCACAATTTCAAGTTACTTCCATTTGGTTTAAAGTGGTAGCATAACTAGCAAAACTGTTGCTTTAGAAAAAAATTGAGAACTAGCTTTGGTGAACATCAACATGGTTGCATATGCAACTTTGTTCCCACTTATGAACTATGCAGAAGGAAAACGCTTAAATGTTGTGAATCTATTTTCTTTCTTCCTTACTTAATTGTTTAGACAGGCTTACTACATATAAGTAGCAGGGTCATGTTCCCCCCCAACACTCATTTTTCTGTG